AGCCTTTTTCCCCACCCCCACCCTTCCCCATTTCCTTCCTTCCTTTTTCAACGGTAAATGAAAAAAGAAAATTCGAAAAATTTTAAAAAAGTTAAAAAAAAAAAAAAATTTTTGTTGTTTTTGTTTTTTTATTCTATGACATTGAAACCTGATTGTTTGTTGTTGTTCGTTTGTTCGTTCGTTTGTTGTTATTTTGACCTTTCTGTCTTTCATGCCTGCAGAGATAACTGATCAAACACATACACATACACTCTGACACAAAGCAAAACATCAACGAGTTTTATCCTATTTTTGGAATTTCACGTTTTCATCATCATCATTATTATTATTATTATTATTAATAACCGGAGTCTAGTTTATTTTACTTCGGGGCACGTATTAATATTATAAATAAGAGGTTTGGTCGGTTCGTTGTTGCAAATCGGTGCATCTTCGTTTTTTTTTTATTAATTATTTATTAATATTTATGTTAATAAAAAATAATCCGTTAAAATTATTATTATTAATAATTTTCTTTTTTTTCACACGAGCACGCGCACACGCGCACATTATTCCTTCATCTTCTTCTTCTTTTATTTCTCATTCTAAAATTAGTTTTTATAAAATAAAAAAAACGTATAAATAGAAAAATCCCTGAGAAGACAGAGAGAGAGAGAGAGAGAGAGAAAAACGCCTTAATTAGCATCCTGTTATTAAATGTGTATGTGTGTGTGTATGTGAGTAATAATAATAATAATAAAACCGAATGAAAAAAAAAAAAAATAATATTATTGCAATTTTTAAATGATGCGACCTTTGACCGCCCTTTTAAGTTTTTTTTTTTTTTTTTAAACATTAATAACTTATTTTAAATAATTATTTTTTAGTGCGTTAGATAAAAAAAAAAACGTGGCACGATGAAAAGTGAGGGGAGGGAAGGAGGTAGGGAAAAAGGAGGGAGAGGGGGAAAGGCAGGAAGGAAGGGAAAACTTTTAACTTTCTTTTTTTTTTTTTTTTCTAAAATAAAAATGGTGAGGTTAGTTTAAATATTTAAGTAAAATTTTTTTTTTTAAATAAGATACCGATCGATACGATATTATTATTATTATTATTATTATTATTATTATTATTATTATTACTACTATTTAAAAATAATAATGATGATTTTACGTACGTACGATTATATTTTAAAATGGAAATTTATCGGGAAGAGGAAAAAAACGGTTGTACGAAAATGAGAAAATTTTTTTTTTTTAAGTGACTTTTAAAAGAGGGAACAATGAACCAGAAGGACGCAGCATCCGGGTTTTACAATTCTTCTGACAGAACTCTGTTATCTATTTTGAAAAACAAAAGAGGCCACATTGAATTTCCTTTTAAAATTTTTGACGAAACAACAACCAAAACAACAACAAACAAAAACATTAAAATAAAATCGGTTCGGACTGTTTTTTTTCCTTTTTTTATTTCATCATTTTATTCGTTTATCGATTCGATATCATTATTAAATATATTTTCAATAGCAGAAGACACGAGTGAAAAATTTAAATTATCCGCGCGACGATAATTTTTCCCATTTGTCGTCTTCTGCTTTTTTTTTTTAATAACAAAAAAAATTAACCAAAAATTTCGAAACTAAACTTGAATTTTTTTTTTACCATCAAATTTACAATAATAAGTAAATGAAAAAATTCAAAACCGGAAATAGTGAGATACGTGTACGCACTCGTGCACGTGCACGCACAACCACACGCGCATTTACGCACTCCGTAAAAATTAACTTTATTGAAATTTTCGTGACAAAAATTATCCGTTTAAATTGCATGGACTTAATTACATTCGTAGTTGTTGTTGTTGTTGGTTGTTGTAGTAAATCCGGTCATGAGGGCAACGAGTTGTTGTATCATTTTTACCTTCTCACGAAACGCGCACACACACACACACACACATACGTACACTCGTAGAAATTTTTTTACGTAAAAAAAAGTAAAAAAAATTATTCGCTGTTTTTTTTTTAATGAAGATTTTTTTTTTTTTTTGAAAACGGCACATCAAAAATATTTTTTTTTTCTAATTAGTTGAAAATCAGGTTTTTAGAGGAAATTTTTTTCCTCACTTTATAATTACGACACCGTTTTTAAAAAAAAAATTTATTTTTATACCTAAACCTTTTTGAAAAAATTAATAATTGATAAGAGAGAGGAAGAGAGTAAGAGAAAAGGACGGAAATTTTTTCGCCATTTTTTTTTTTAAATAATTTTTTCTTTGTTGGAGGAGTTGAGCGAGAGTGAGAGAAAATCTGCATGAAAATTTTATTATTATTAATAATATTTTCTCTCATCGAGTCAAACAACAACAACAATCACAACAACAAACGCTCATCTATGAATTGTAAGTTATAAATCCTTAAGCAATCAAAATCTCACGGACGATGCAATAAATGTCTTTCATTTTTTTACAACCTTCTTTCTTGTCTGAATGTTTTTTAAATTCTTTAACTCATGATCGTGTGGAATTTTTTTTTTTTTTTTTTTTTTTCATTTCACATTCGGTCAATTTCTATATTACAAACATTTTTTAATAATTCATTTCCTCATATTCGAAACAATCACAACAACAACAACCACAACAAAACGCGTACCTGAGATAATAATAATAATATTATAACGAGACAAAAATTTTTCTATTTCGAAATTTCATTTGTTTTTAACTCATTCATTACCTATTCGAACGACATATTAATCATTATTATCATCATCATTATCATCGTTATAAATTATTACCGTTATTAAGTAATTAATAAAATTTATTATTTATTAATAATTTTTTATTTTT